GTGACATTTGTATATAACTTTTTTTAAATTATTTCTACCCGAATCTCATTTATTCTGATAGATAGAAAAACCGTATTATATACATATAATAAAATGATAAAGAGCATTCGTATCGAGAGATGTATTCAATAGAGTATCGCGCAATATCAAGATGCATGCGGCCCTGGAGAAGCACTTATCGTACACGTAGGTGAATGTCGGCAGAGAAATCATACCAGCAAGGACGACGTAGCGAGAGAAAGAGCAGGACAGGGTGAGCGGACTGAGCGGGAAAGAGATACAAACCACGCCCGGGCTCATCCCGACTTTCTAGAAACCGAAAACTGGATCGCGGCTACCAACATCTCGGGAGATCTCGAGAAACGTCAGTCCCGGTTGATTCACGTAACAGACGTCAGTCCTCGCCAACCGCGCTCCTCTTTCTTTCGCTCTTCTTATTTCTCCTCCTGTTCCGCGTAACCGGCTACCATTTCCCGTGGACATTACTCACTCTCGGCCGCTCAGAGAAACTCCGCTCGGCGCAGAAAAAAATCCGAGATTTTTAAAACAAATTTAATCAAGCCGATCGGAGAATGCGCTGCATTAGAATCGATAATATATTTTATTTCTGGCTTATTCCATTGCGCACTATTTTTTAATAAAAGTCAAATTTGATATTTAGATTATAAATCTTCGATTTTTATATCAAATAACTAAATGTACAAAATTTTTTAAAATAAAAACAATTTACAAACTTTGAATTTTTGAATTAACCTATCTATCTTTATCTATCTATATTCTATGTACATAAAAACAAATGTCCTGATTGACTGACTGACTGACTGACTCATCAACGCTCAACCCAAACCTCTAAACCTAGAAACATGAAATTCGGGGAGTATATTCCTTCCATGACGTAAGCACCCACTAAGAATTAAGGGATTATTTTCATGGATTCCTATCTCTTAGACCCGATGAAATATCGATTTGGTTTTTCATTTAAAGTAGTTCATACCGTAGTGAAACACTAGTATCAAGCTAGTGTACTATATTTTGATATAGTATTATATAGCAATGCATTTAAAAATGATATCGCTTAAAAATGATATCGATTCCTTCGCTATAACATGTTACCCAAAAGTTTAAACAACTCGATCCAAGCACAGATCGCTAGGTTCTCATCTTCTTAAATTCGACAGGGCGTCGCCCGAGGATGCGTCCGCACTCGAGTCGCGCGAAAGTTTCTCCTCGCGGAGTATTATTACGGGGAACAAGGGAAAGTACATGTAAATCGAGCTTAATCGACCGCATCTCTCGCCGGACAACACACACGTTCTACTACTATCACTTTCTTGCGCGCGAGGCAGCGACGGCGACAGCAAGCGACAATACAGAAAAATCGACCGCCGCGATCGGTGTCGCGTCGCGCGTACTTTCGACTTCGAAACCCAAGTCTCAAGGAATCCCTCTTAACGCCCATAATTAACGCTTTTCACTATTATCGTCGGACGAGCGATATTTTTGCGCTCGTCCGCTCTTTTTCCGCCTCGCCCTCTCGGCCGCGCTGATGGCACAACGAGCAGATTTCTCTTTCGCCGAAGTGGACAACCGAAGAGCGGATTAGAGTTTCTGGTTTGTAACTGGATCAGTCCAAGCGCAACGATACACAGACAGAGCCATCGATCGCTAAACGATCGCGATCTCCATCGAGATATATATATAGATATGTTTACGACTTGGTGATGAAACCCATTAAATCATTGCATTAATTGCTTATATCTGCGACGGTGAGAGATTTTCCAGATCGTGTTAGCATATTTAAAGCTCATGAGTAAATTTAACATGCACTGAGAAAAATGGCCAGCAACTTTAAAACTATTTTATCTGACCAAGCTTAACATCCAATGCAATACGTTATATTCAATCAAAAAATATTTTGACAAAATATAATAACCGATGAAATCGAGTGACATCTGATGAAAAGTTATCCGATTATGTCAATGAGCTGAAATTGTTATCCGATATATCACATTTAATACCCGATTAAATATGCTTTATCCAACATTGTATAAAAATATTCACACAATGAAATGTAATAACTTGTAGTTTATCTATTTGTTCTACTATTAAAAAATATATTTGATTTGTCCCATAAACTTACTCTGTGTACGTGTAATGCATTACATATACAAAGAGAAGAAAATTAAGTTTCTTTAGATTTACATTTCTTTAAATTTGATTTTTAATCGTTTTTAACTTTGATTTGATTATATATTTTATATTTCTCTGTTGTACTGTTGGAAAAATCAACAAATATGTATATAGTCACGGTGAGATATGTTTGCGATATACTTAATAAAAGCTTCTCGCGTTTCTACGTTTAGCTCGGTAGCACGTGGCGATTGAAGATAAAATATACTCGCCTTCTCGCCATGCGCGGATAGAGACATCAATGCTTGCAAGAACACGCGGAAAGCAGTGATCTCGACATAGCTGCGTCACTTTCAGCCGACGAATCGACTTATCACGGCGATCTCTCCGCAGTATATGACAAACAAAAAACATTATTTTTCTTTCTTCAGAAACTGAATATTCCGTGCGGGAACGCCGGGAACGTGTCGATAATTATTGCAGCTGGCAAATAAACATGACAGAATGGTAAAACGGAAGATAAAAAATGTGAAATATTCCTTGCGTTCATGACTTATGAAATTACATGTGTTGAATTAATTCCTCCATCATGTTTACATTTTAAATTTCATATCTGTATTCTAGCAATTTAAATGTAACAATCAATATTCATGATTATACACATTCAAAACATTTTCTATTTCTTCTTTCCTATTGTATCGTTTGCGTAGGCCGAGACAAAAGAAAAGAATTTATCGTTATTAAATTAGTTATTAATTGGTTATTAATTGGTTATTAACTTATTAATTGGTCACAAGCATAGCTTCGCGGATACGCGTGCGAAAATTACGTTTTTGGAATTGTCTTCGGTTTATTTACCTTATGTTTCTTTAAGACGTGAACTAATTGACAGCATGTTTATATTTAACCGACAAGTTGTTCAAACAGACCTTTCGAATTGTTACAGATATCGTTACTTCGTTACATCGCGGAAGAACTTACGGTATCCTATTCGCTGACGAGCGAGACGGAAAAAATTCGAGCAAAATTAACTGCGCGTATGATCGCGATCCATTAATAAAATTCTGTCAATTAGCGGGCGCTACGGAGTCCGAAGCACGTGCCAGAGTGAAACGGTGAAGCATTTAGAAACAGGGCATAAAACGAGAGGAAGAGAGAGACAGAGAGAAAGGCTCGACTGAATGATCCATAATACGGGATCGTAAAAATCTGATAGACACATCTTACATATCTGGCAGGTGTTCCTACTTCATCTATATTTTCTTTTTCTATCCCCGACGTCTGACGTCGAACGGTAAAAATGCGAGCAGGTCGATTTGCCCGGGAGATCGATTTCTTCGGCTTCTAAAATCTTCGACGTAGCCTCGGGCCGAAGACACATTTATCACAACGCGATTGATGCCTTGATTTATCGAGTCCCGTTGCGTTCCCTCTCTTTGCCTTTCTCTCTTTTTTCACTCTCTCTTTCTCTACCCTGTCTCTCCCTGCCTGTTTCGCGCTACGATTCACGATGATGTCGAGAAAGGAGAGAGAGAAGGAGATCCTTTCACTAATGTTTCCAAATAGCGTCGTTTCCTAGCGATTCTATAACGCTTATCCATTCTTCTCGACTCGACGTAATCTGGTTCTATTACGAGCGACAGAAAGAAAGTCTGGCACGATGAGTTTTTGATTTATGAAACACAAGCGGTGAGGCTCGCTTGTCAACCGGCCGATGTTACGCGATACGTATATCTAATAATCGGTTGTGTCTATCTAGAGATGCCACAGATTGGTATATTCAATTACTTTTGATTGATGTTTCGAGTGTTGTAATCGGACGTGACCTTAAAATTTATCTAACACCACACGTCTACGTTGCTCAACAACATATTTTTTATTTTCGCTATTGTCTTGTCAACTTCAAATTTTGCTATTACTTAAGAGATTAATATTTTAACATAATATTCCAAATATATATAAAGTGTAAGCCTAGACAAAAGAAAATAATTTATCTTTGTTAAAGCTCTTTATTAATTAGTCATAGTAGGCATGACTCCGCGAATACTTACGCGCGCGAGAACAATTACCTTTTCGGAATTGTTTTCGGTTTATCTAGCTGCTGGTACAATAAAGCAATCTTATTCTAAATCTTTACGTAGCCGCCCTATTAACATATTAGAAGCCGTTGTCTCCTCGGCTTCCATGAAAAATACAAATACCTAAATTAATATGGAACGTTTCTCAATATTTCTAAAAATTTCGCTTACAAAAAAATATATTTAATGTTAATAAGTTAATAAGTTTTGTAATTTCTAACGTGTAAATTGCTTTATGATTCACATGTTTAACAATTTTCTATGTAATTACCTTCCTCCATATGGCTAGATATTTTCAATTTAATAGCCAAAAGTAAAAGATATAATTCCCTTTAAAAATATAAATTGGAAGAGGCTGTAAGGGTCACGCGCGGTTTTTAGTGCGTAGTATCAATATCACTGATTTATTGTTCAATTACATCCATCTGTACGTTTCGGCTCTAATTTGAGCCATCTTCAGCGGTATATTAAAAAGTATAAAATAATAAAACTATTCTTCTTTACAACATGGTGAGTTTACTGATTGGAAATTTCACAGAAACATAATAAGACTAAAAGATCCATATCTGGAAAAGTAATTAAGATGTTACAATAGGGTTTATTTAAACAATGCTACAATTAAACAATAAATCAGTGATATTGATACTACGCACTAAGAACCGCGTGTGACCCTTTTACAGCCTCTTCCAATTTATATTTTTAATTTTGAGGGTCCTTATACTATTTTTATTTAATTCCTTTTAGTTTATTATTTATTAGCTAATTAAACGTGTCATACATTCCACGTTTTAGATTACCGCAAGCGGAGAGCAGGAGCAAGGCCGAGTGATAGAGGCAGTGTGATGAGCGGATACCTCGGTAGCATCACCCTGCCCCCGACGTTGCTGCACGACCCGAAGTACCCTCCAGCCATGCGGGAGAAAGACTCGAGTCCGAGAAAGATGCCGGGCCACATAAGCCCAAAGCAAGCTAGCATTTATCCTCTGAGCGTCCGCGTGCCGGACGTAGAGGAGCTGCCATACGATCTCAGCCACGGTCACGGCCGCGGCATGTCGAGCCCGACGAATCAGCAACAGCAGCAGCCGCACATGAGTCCCGCGGCCCGACCGCCCCAGCCGCATAATCAGGACGAGCTCGACTGCGAGCCGCTTGATCTTCGTGTCGATCACAAGAAGGAGCGGCTCAGGGATGAGAACCAAAACGAGATCGAGGTGCTGAATCAGAACAGCCTGGGCGGTAGTAGTCTGCCCTACCACACGGTGCTCTTTCCACAGCATCACGCGATGCACCCGCTCGTTCTGGAAGCGATGTACAGGTCACATCATCACAGCTCGCCAGTGCCCGATCTGCCAAAGATCCAAGTCAGAGCGCTACCGACAATGGTACCCCTGCCGCCCAACAGATTTTCCTCGACCTCGTCATCCACGTCCTCCTCGTCCTCGTCGCAGCCGACCGCGAGAGCTGTCAGTCCGGCCGTTGGTCAACAATCCCAGCATCAGCAGAATCATCCCTCGCAACAGCAGCAACAGCAGCAGCAACAACAGCCGCAACAACAGAGCTCGAGTTTGCCGCCCTATTCGATCAGCATGCAAGCGGGTCTCAAGCCCAAGGACAGATACTCCTGCAAATTCTGCGGTAAGGTCTTCCCTAGATCGGCGAACCTGACGAGACACCTGAGGACGCATACCGGCGAACAACCGTATAAGTGCAAATACTGCGAGAGGAGCTTCAGCATCTCCAGCAACCTTCAGCGTCACGTCAGAAACATCCACAACAAGGAAAAGCCGTTTAAGTGTCCGCTTTGCGAGAGATGCTTCGGCCAACAAACCAATCTGGATCGTCATCTGAAGAAGCACGACGCGGATGGGCCGACGATACTGGATGAGGTCAGATCGAGGTATCACGGTCAACTTCCGCGAGCCGACGATTCCTACTTCGAGGAGATCCGCAGCTTCATGGGAAAGATCACCTCGCAACGACAGAGCATACCGTACTTCCCTGGTCTACTAGGTCACGCAACTGATGACTTCAGAAACGACAAGCAGCAACTGCAGCTGGAGGAAAAGCGAGGCGACTCGTCGTACTTCAGCGACCGGGACAATCTCAGTTCGAGGTCGAGCAGTACGGCCAGCAGGCCGGAGAGCGTCCAGGAGGAACAAAGGGAAGTGAACTCGCCGCCACTCTCTCCCGGCAATAATACCTGAATCCTGGGGCGCGATTATCAGCATGATAATCCAGTTAAGAAAGGTTTTCGTCGGTTCATCAAAGCGCGATAGAGTTCGAGAATAAGAGAAAATTCGATATTTTGAACCGTCGGAATTGACTAAAAGCGAAAGACTTGAAAAAATTAAACTTTTAACAAAATTCCATAAGATATTGCTACGAAGAACTATATTATTTACAGTGATCTTAGATTAATTCGAAACTACATTATGAGGTAAATTATTTCATTTCCTCGTAGAAATTCCTATAAGCCGAAACGTAAAGGTAAACCGGCGGAATCTGTGAAGAAAAAGAAAGTGATCTATAGATATTGATAAAGATAAATCCTAAAGATCGGCGACGAATTCCTTGCTCGAACTAGCGAGCAACAGTCGAATCAGTTTTTTTATTCTAGGTTTTAATAATTACGGACTTTAAAACGAATTCGCAGAATGTTAACCTGAAGGATTAATACGTAGATTCAATTTACTGTGAGAGATAAATTAAAACGTGGTGCCTTGAAGAAACATGTGCCTAACTAGGATGTATCGTCCTTCAATCCTGAAGAATACGATCCAACCGGATCAATATAAAAAGCCTTAATAATAAAGTTAGATAAACAATTAACCTACACTAAATATCGTACAATATTAGAATATTAGACTTAAACGCGTGCTTGAGTGAGCCGGAAAGTCATAGAAAAATAGCCGGAGTTGATCGTAATCTATAGGACCGATTTGTGAAGATGGAAAAGATGAAGTCTATATTTAATATAGACTTTTACTTTATAAGAGAAGATGTAAATATATCTCTTGCGTTTTTTGGTCTGTAAAATTTAATATTTAATTTTATTCATTTTTATTACATCCATCTTTTTAATTTGATTGGAGAATTGCAATTCTAAGTGATATAATCTATATAAAGTATAGAGATTATTATACGTGTTAAATTTTTATGTTTTTTTGTGAAACGAGATGAAAGTTGCACTTGGTATTACACTTAATAAATTTCGATCTTACATAAATTTTACCTTAAATATATTTGTGTCTTCTCTTTCATATTTCTCACATACAAGCTCAATATTAATGATAAGGAGCATTTTGTTCATTCTACTCCCTTCGTAGGCACAATTGTAGAATCATCAACAGAATGATGTGTACAAGACATAATTAATTTATGCTTACAGGCTGTCGCAATATTTTTATTCTTACTTAAGGGGATCCTGCAGTGACTGGCGAACTTCCTCGATGTCGATAATGTCAACCTTTCTAATTTTGTTTTCCCTATATCTGTCTTTGTCTAACGAAATGACATCTGTCCTTTTTTCGATTGCTCGCCATCTCTCGCAAGATCCGGCAACTACTGTTGCTGCTCTTCTTGTCATTTGCATCCGTATTTGCATTACTAAAATAATTTTTCGATGGATCTTTTTTTGTACGCATTGAATCTTACTTCTACTTGCACGATATTATTCCTACATGTTTTCCCAAGGGCAGATGATAAAAATTATGTATGTATAAACTGCAGAATTTTTGTTTTAAGCAAATATTGTCGTCAGGTGACAGCTGCGTATGTGCCCAAATAAGTAACATTTTTAATTTTTTGGCGTTTTTGATATAAAATCGCGTTTTCTGCCCTAGATTTTTGTGCGTACTTTAATTCTAGACCAAAAACTTGCAATTCTGTAAAGCCAATTAAAAGATCCATCGAAAAACGATAATGTCGGTAAATCATACGGCTGCAGGATCCCCTTAACGAGAATTGTCATAGATGAATTTAATCGCCACTTTTAATCACCGTAAGTTTGAATCGCTATAATACAAAGTTTTTCATTAATACCGGGAAAAAAAATATAAATTACATCAGCCGGCCAATATTACTCGCAAATGGTAAGAAATTCCTGTGAAAAAAACGACATTGTTCTTAAATTACGTTAAGCCGCGTCGCAAATTATAACGGCATAATGCATGACTAATTTGCAAAGAAGAAAGGATAGCACGGAAAAAAGCGCCGGCACTGTAATTAAGGCCGTTGCAATCCTTTCGATCGTCCCTACACTTTTCTACCTTTCACGACGCATTCCTTTCGCGCGACGGGTTCAGCTCGAAGTTGATGCAGATGTCCGATTTCGAGATCAACGCGAAGTATCATCCGAAGAAATTGCGGGCCATTTAATCATAGAATAAACGACGTGTGTATCGGTTCTTCCAAATACCAACAAATTTATATGTATATGATAAATATAAAAAATTGCAATGGCAATAATAATTTTGCTATAGGCTGATGCACAAGCCTTGTTAATAATATCTTTATTGCTAATTAAAAATCAAGAACAAGTCACGTAGCTACAAGAAACGTGAGAGGAAAAGTTAAGTAATATGTGCATACTAGAATGTCCAGTTAAATATTCGTTGCTCGCGTAGTGTCGCTGGGCGTAATTTCCAAATACGTTGCTAAATTTGCATAATCCGATGAGCATCTCAGCTTAAAATTTGAAAAATTATCACGTCACGTGTCACAAGATTCGCAAATATCGAACGTTTGTCGAAAGAATTCGTAACCCCGGGCAGACGAAGAAAATTAATGGAAGAAAAAGTTCAAGAACAAGGGACGATTTGTTGCGGCAGAAAGCGCTGATGGGTGATCACTCGATTTTACGACCTAGAAAGTGAATTTCAGCGCTCGGGCAACTCGGGCGCCTTCGAGCGTAATCCGCGGATCGCGGAATTGTCGGGACCAATGATCCGCTGAGGAAGCCGGATAATAAAATAGTGTTTAGAAATCGATGGGCGGATCTCCGTGCGCCGATCGGTCTTGCTGCGTTGGGAAATCGGAAGAGCTCGGAAAGTTCGTCGCACTCCGCGCGCACCTCGGATCATTAAGTTTTCAATCGAGGAAGCCGGTGACGTGTCGCGGAGATATGCCAGAAATTATCGCCGCGAAATGAAACGCGAATACCTAGCGCAACGTTTCTCAATCTTCTTTCAATGGAATACAAATACACTTCGCTGGAATACACTTTGATACACAAATCACTCGAACATCCAGAAACGCATATAATTATCGTCATTGATCCAATAAAAATATAATTAAAGTTTATTTCAAGAATTGTCAAAGAGATAATTACGTTTACTTTTCAATCGAAATTCCGCGAAACACCTGAATGAAGACTGATCGCGACACGTCGCTGCTCCGAAGAAGCGGAAAAGAACGACTCTACACTTCTTCGTCTCTGAAACCAATTCACGCCGCGGAAAGAAATCCGTAACAGCAGTCATTAAATATATAATTATCAGGTCGGCAGAAAAACGTAATAGCGACGCGATCCTCTCCATCGCGAACTTAACGAACTCCATGGTACTCGTATACACGGTTTGAGATCGTAATCGGTAATCGGTATACTATATTATGCGGTTTTTTGAATTACCTAATCTTGCAGCTCGGAAATTAAATAAGAAGACAAGTGACAATTTATTGATATTAATTTCCGCAATATCGTTTTCTTTATTACGCATTAAGCATCTAAAAGCTCTGGAAGAAATTAACGGGAAGTACTGTCGTATAATATCTGATCTCGCATCTCTGATAGATTGCACTAACGCGGATAGCTGCTGACACATCTCGTTAGGCGGCTTTTTTTTATTCGCGGTTGGGCAAATGACAGCGGGATGTAGCGAGGCATTTCTGCTCCGCTTGTTCGACCGTGATGCTTTGTTTGCGATTAACGTCGAGAAACGATATCCGCGCCGATATGCAACGTGTTTCGCGGGGCCGAGCAAAAACTTACGGCGGTAAACTGGTATCATTCCGGCCGGCACTTCTTGGCAACGAACGGCGAACGGTGCGAAATATCTCTCGAGGTTCTCATCGAACCGCGGAAACGTCTACGGTGAAGAAAGAGGACCCGATCTGAAACCGACGCGGCGTGGCATACGCGGAATCTCTGCGGCGTGGAAAAGCCGCGTGCTTCCTGCCGGCGATGATCGGGCAAGAAGAAGCGAGTAAACGAGCGGAGTGCCTGGTAAATCCCACCGCGGGCAATCCCACACGGGATGATGATATATCCCCTCGTTTCCTGCGGACGGTCGCTGAAGACCGTACCTTGGGTAAAACGATGTAATCGTCTTCCGCTCCTTGAGTCAGGTGCAAATTTATCGGCACTTTCTAGCGAATGCATTCGCTCGATACGCGAACGCCGTAGTATCCGCAGGTGCGGATCCGTTGATCCTCGGGATTAACCCAATCAATTCCTGGTAGCAGGAGCGTAACGCGGGAGGTCAAAGGCATAATGGAAGCTAAAGCGTAAGGGGGAACGGTATGACCGTCTATCCGTCTTGCGTGTGCACAAGGTAGATTTATGCGCGAGAGCTTCGTGTGAGGGCAGATCTTAAGGACCTCACGTGTCCAGTATCTTTCACGTAGAGAAAATACGAGATCTTGTGTGCGTGAATGCCTCGCGTGAATACCAGGACCTTACGTGTGTATTATCATCGTGCGCGCAAAGATCTCCGCGTGTGGACGATTGTGGAAGATTAAACGTGCAACCTCCGCGAAATCATATTGCTAAATTAGAAGGCTTGCGGCTTGAGTGACAGATAGATATATATTCTGTCTTAGAGTCATCATTAAGTACGTGGCGCTTCTTTATCAAAATTGCCTATTCTTATTCTATTATCTTTCTAACGCGCGCGATCTTTCTAACGAAAAAAGGCTGTCTACTTCATTATGATTAACTTTCTAGCTTTATTACTTTCTTTTTCTCTTACACATCAAATCTAAAATTAAAAATATATATCCTATATAGAAAATCTTAAATAAGAGATATTTCTTTGGTATGTTAAATTATTAAAAATCAAGTCTTACTGGATACCAAACGTAAGTCTGCGAGCAGATTTAAGACTAGAACTATCAAAGTCAAAATAATTAATTTGTATAAACTTTTCAACAGTACCTACATTTTCCGTAATTTTTTTTGCAATATATAAATGATTAAATTGATCAATTTGTTTTCACTTTTTATCCTTTAGTATAATTAAGTAGTAGAAATAATCATATACATTTATCATCGATAATTCTATAATTCTAGTATTAAAGCTTCACAGTTTCACTGGCTCTATGAAAATTTTTGGTGTGAATCATGCGCATTTAAATGTTATTTCTAGTATTCCGATTATTAAAGTCGTAGAGTGGAATTGACCGAGAAATATTTATAATTACGAATTGCTCTCGTCATTGAAATAATTCCGCGACACGCGATACCACTATTATAAGCGCGCGATCGGTTTTCTCGAGTTCTATGGAACGCAGTTGAAAATCCCGACCGGTGAGCCTTAAAAACGAATTAATCGCTTCCCGACTCCTCGGGCGCGAGTTTACTGCGCTTTCTAGATCGTGCCGACACCATCGAAGCAGAAAACAAACACCACGTCAGTTTCGTGACTGAAAGTGTTATCTCGAGCGACTCCGATTAATTGCGAGACTCACATCTACGCGCAGCTGTGATGCCGATATAATATATCGTTTATCCGAGCTGTTTCACCGATCCCCATTCGTCCCAAGAATCAATCGATCGTTATTATGAAGTCACGATGACGCAAAAATCAACGCAAAAATGTGTAAATATCGAAACGTTTCGATCCCAAATTTTTAATTTATCGTACTGATTTTAATCTCTAGATCATACAAAAAAAATCTGTAATAAGTATATGTTTGTAAATAATAATGAAAATATAACAACCAACGCGCGCGAGAAATGCATTAATATATTAGACGCATTACTTCTATTCGGAGTTCTTGCTTATCTTTTATTGCAATTCAATGGTTGCCTTATAAATTGCTTTAGATCAACTAAGGACGTTATATCGCAAACCTCGTCCGATTACAGTGGTAATCTCGGCGAGTAAGTCGTCGCGTGGGTTCGCTCGCCGTAAAGTGATTTTAATCGTTGCTTCCGGTACGATATTGGGTGCAAATTTATCAGCGCTTTCTAAGCGCGTGGCGCGGAGGTGGTGCGCGTAAATCCGACCTTGATTAACCCGATCAGTGATTCGTAACATCGTAATGAGAGCCCGTGGGCTCTCTGGGCGCGGGGGGGAGGATGACGTGAGCTACGGAGTAGCTCAAGGTGCTCCCGCGGCGCATCTCGCATCTGTTGGATGCGAATTTTTTCCACGCCCTTCCCACTTGATCGCGCGAGCTCGGCGAAAAAC